GAGAACAGGCTGATGGTTGCCAGAGGGATGGGAGTTTGGAGGACTGGATGAAAAAGGTGAAGGGACTGAGAAGTACAAATTGGTTGTTACAGGATAGTCATGGGGATGTAAAGTACAGCATGGGGAATATATTCATTAACATTGTAATGACTACATATGGTGCCAGTTGGGGTACTGGAAATATCAGGGGAAACATACATTATATGATTATCTAATGAATATGTTGCATACCTGAAACAAACATAAGTGACACTAAATATAAACTATAATTTTTAAAAAGCTGGGTGAAACAGGGAAGAAAATTAGAAATAGGACACTTGGCTTTTAATCTTTATGAGTACCTGGCTGTGTGACTTTAGTAGTTGAACATCTCTGAGAAGTGTTATTTTTCAAATACTGACGGACCGTAGACCAAGTAGCCTATGGGTCTGCAAGTGTGGATGTCAGCACTTGAGGAAAAAGAATTGTTTGTGATAATAGCTCCAGTCTTCTTCTAATCTGAGAGAAAAATAATTAGAATAAGATGCAGAAAACACAGGGCACGTAATTAATTGTCATTGTAAAAGGAAATAGAAGAATCATTAAGATGTTTTATTCTAAAAATGATGCGAAACTAGACTTTTGAACTTAGAAGGAAACAGCCAAATGTAACACTGATTACAGACAATGTTTTTGCAAATTCCTCTAATGTAGACTTCTCTGTGTTAGGAACACAGTTTTTCTTGACAATTTTTAGTTCTTTATTATACATCTTAATGGAAGAGACATCCTCTAACAAAAGCTTCTGTAATGTGAATGTACAGCAGAGAATGTTCTCTTTAATTAACACATAAAAATTTTGCATCACCATAGATAGATTTGCCTATTGTTTTTCAACAAATGCTGCTTTAAGAGCTGTATGTCTATATGTATTAAAAGTGAACTTCATTTTATTTGCAACATGTACAATGATTTAGAGTAATCATTGAGTCTAAACATAAAACTTAAAATTACAAAACTTCCTAGAAGTAATGATCTTGGGTTAGGTAAAGATTTCTTAGGTATGGTTTCACAAATATAATTTTATCAAAGAACAAGTTGCTGAACCTGACCATTAAAATTAAAAAAAAAACCTTCCGCTTTTGGAAACTTCCACTGTTAATAGAATAGGGAGAGAAGCCACAAACTGGGAGAAAATATTTACAAATCACGAGTCTGATAAATGACTTACATTAGCATATGCCAAGGAACTTCTCAAATTCAGCAATAAGAAAACAAACCACTTAGTAATAAATGAGTGAAAAATAGTGACGGTTGCCTGCAGAAGACATGGAGATGGCAAATGCAGACGATAAAGTACTCAGCATTGTTTGTTATTGGACCATGGAAATTAAAGCTACAAACATACACAACTGCACATCTGTTACAATGGTTATAAGTTAAAAGGCTCCATTACAAAAGTTATCTGATAAGTGAAATAATGAGAATTATTTTACAGTTATGGTGAAAATGAAAATGCTGAGGAAACTCAAAATAATTAAGTAATTGAAGCCAGACAAAAAGATTACACACTGGATGACTCAATTTATATATAATTGATATATAAAGACAGAAAACAGAGCGGTGGTTGCCTAGGGGTGACCAGGCAGCAGAGAGAGGCAAGAATTACAAAGGGCATAAGGAAACTTTAAGGCATGAGGAATATGTTTATTATCTGGACTGTGGTTATAGTTTCATGAATGTGTACATACTTAAATGTGTACACATAGTAGGATGTGTACATCAAGACTTAAATAAGCACAGCTTTATGGGTCAATTATAATACCTCAATAAAGCTGCTACAATTTTTATAAGATGAACTTTAAAATATGATACATTAAATTCTTTTCCTATGTATTTCTGCTCATTTCGATTTGGCCTTTAGTCCTACATTACGAGAAATACGAGTAAAATACAAAATAACACTTACTTTCCCACTTTAACACCTTAAATCAGGGGACCTGATTAACTCTTGATGGCATAGCAAACTAATTTTTCTACGAATGTCCTCATGCTACAGTATACACACAAGCTAGAGATATTTTAATTCATTGCTGAGCTAGAAACAATGTGTGGGCAGTCAATATGGACCCACAAAATGGTAAGCATGCAAATAAATAAATGAAGAGGGAGATGAAAATAGAGCCATGACTACAGATGACTTGTAAACCATGAAGAACTGGAGGTCGAGCTTTGTATCCCCTGCAAAGTTGGGAAGCCATGCCCGAGAATCCTCAAGCAGGCCTGGGTCCTCAATGGGGCTATTCCACAGTGAAAGGAGGGGCCAGGGAAAATGAAAATTGCCAGCCACAAAATAGATTCCACCCCAGGATATTTGTCATTTCCTAGGTGGCTAAAGGGGAAAATGTAATTAATAATACTCTTTACAGGCAATTTGTAGTCATTAACCTGTTCTCATATAAGTCTGGTTTTCAAATTTACACTAACCATTTCGGGAAACCTCAAGCTGTGATATTAAATTAACATGGTGTTAGGTTAGGGACACAACTTGCCATTAAGCAGAAACCAGCAGAAACCTCTCTGGAGAACTCAGACTAATGCAAAACATAGCAAAACTTTGAAGTTCAAGTGGTCTGGTTGGCAGGTTTGTGAGAGTTGCATTTTTCCCTTTTTCATATAGTTTTGCATTATAATATAATATGCATTTAAATCTTTAAGTTATCAATAAACAGGGTGTGATCAGTGTTATGATAGAAGTATAAGAAGAGATTGCTTCCCTTGTGGGGAGATTCTAAGCAAAGGGCCTCAGTGTACAAATCCATAGCATTTTGCTGCCCGGGGGCATTCAGCTCATGGAGGCTGCATAGCATCCTCTAGATCTTGCACAGCCACTGGATCATTTCACTGGATCAGTGAATAGCTTGATCAACCCTACATTTGAGAAAGGTCATTCTGGCTGGGCAGTTTGGAAGTTAAAAAACAAATATTAAACGTTAGGAGGTGATCGCAGATACTGGGGGTTGAATCAATGGAGATGGAACTGGAGAAAAAGAGACCTAATTAGAGATACTTAGGAGGTAGAACTGAGGTGATTTGATGATCCAATGGTGTGGCAAAATAAAAGAGAGGGAGGAGCCTGGGGAGATTTCCTAGCTCTCAGCTTGGATTCAGGGTCAATACAGGTTGCCTTCACTAGTAAATGGGATGAAGGAAAGACCAAATTTGGAGTAATAGATGTAGAGCCCAGGTTTAAGACCTGCCACATTTGGGGCTTCTTTAGGACATTTGGGAAACAATGTATGACTTGCATTGGGGTCAGAGGAAACACAGTAGCTTCAGAGTGAGGCAAGCAAACAATAGGGGGACTTGAGGAATGTCACTCTTGAGACAGAGGAGCAAATGATGACATCAAGTGCCTGTTTTCTATGCTCTGCACCTGCAACAAACACAAAACAATATTGTATATAAACTATGATTGAAAAAGTTTAAAACATTAAAAGCTCTATAAAAAATTTAAAAAATACAGTGCCTGTATAACTTAGAATGTACTTTTTTAAAATAGAAAGCCTCACAATTTAATTAAAACTAACTCTCGTTGAGGGCCTGCTTATGTCAAAAATCCCCGCTCTGGGCTGCAGTAGAAGCCAAGTCATATCATGCCCCTTCTATCTTGTTTTTAAGATGTGGCAAATTCTCTGTGACACTAATAATGCTCTGTCTCACTTCTGGGAAATCAGTTGTCCTGTCATGAACACCCTTTCCTAATCTGGACTCCCCCTTCCTTACACTGGGCCTCAGCGTGCGTGTCGCTACTGTAGGGAAGACTCCTTTTGACTCATTACTCATACCCCCTAAGATTAGGTAAATTCATCAATAAGAGTTGTAACTTTGCTGCTGGCAGAATCCCAGTGCCCAATATGATGTCTGCTAATCAGTATTTAATAAACATCTGTCAAATATTAAATGCTCTTTATTTAAGACATAAGCCATGCACAAAAGAAGCATCTTATCAAATGTTAGCATAGCATGGTATGCTTGGAGTCATTCTCAGTTGTTTTATGCATGTGTCTCTTTCCAGTTAAATATAAATAACTCAAGGTTGAAGACTATATCTTTTCCTTTTTTTGGCATTACTCATCTTGCCTGACATACTGTTCAGATAATTTTTATAGCATTGACTTGAACAATATTTTAGGCTACACTTGAGATTATCCATTTTGCATTATGTTCATAGTAAATATTCTACTCCAAGCCTGATGACTTATTTATTTAACTGATGATTGGTTTGCCCCAAAGGACATATTAGCACCTCAAGATTGGCTCTGTAAACCTGATAAAACCTGATGATCACCAGTATTAGTGATTTGTTAGATCCTTTATATGAAATGTAAGCAGAGGAGCAGAACACACCAACTTAAAGGCTTTATCTGGCTGTGATATTAGAGGGTAAAATTTGCCAACATAATTTCTCATTTTTAATGGTGAAAGAGGGCTTCAAATGCATGATTTCTTAATTTTGGAATTACTTTAAGTTCATTTAAATAAATTAAAAAATAACTTGCTTTATCAAAATTGCATAAGGGACTTAAAGTTTAAAACCTCTAAAAATTTAGTTCTCGATTTGTGTTTTGTTGTTAGGTTGGCTGGTTGATTTAATTTCTTTTTCTAATGTCTGACTCTGTGTTTGAGAAAGAGATGGAGAGAAATGAGAGTGAGAAAAAAAAGAAACAGAACATTTGACTAATGACCTTTTAAACGAATCACAACAACAATCTATTTATATCCACTGGGAAATGTTCATCCTTTGAAGGCATCTCAGTCTCTTTATCCTATGTAGCCTTTTTAGGTGTTCCATTTTAATCCTGATCTAAATAAAGAAAGTAAATGTTGCACAGGATCAAATTTAGTCTTGCTAAATGAGAAATCTATTAGGTTGGGAAGTCTGTCGAAGTTGTTTTGCTGGGATATTGGTTTCTCTTTCCCAGCACCAACCTCACTTTGTACCCATTGAGCACAACCTCCTGTCCTTTTGTCCATCTTCGTCACCCATCACCATCTCAAGGAGAGCTCTAAGTGACCCTGGAAGCAAATTTCTATGCAGAACCATCACTTTAACGGTAAAAGATTCTCTGTGATTCCAACAGTGTCCTGCAAGTTCCTGTGTGCTCACCATTTTCATCCCCAGTATGACTCTGGTAGGTACAGAACATAAAACCATTGCAAAATGTAATCAATAGCAGTTTATGTTAGGGTAGTTCCAATCAAATAAACACAATCAAGTAGCTTTTCTTGTTAAATTCACTCATAAGGACCATTTTAGTTTCTGCTATTTTCAGGGAAAAAACAAAACAACCTCCTTCAATGGAGTCCCTGAAAGAAAAGCTTATAGCAGTCTGTCAGTGAGGTTTTATCTGGCTAAGCTATTACTTTTTAGGGTTCAGATGGGATGTAGCTGAGGAAAAGATCTCTCTTTGGGTAGGTGAGGAAATATCACATAGATTTGTTAAGTCATGCTCTTTTCATCTATTTGCTCTTACTGATCTCAAAGAATACTTTTAGCTTTAATAGATTCTAAAGACACAGGGAGTAATAAAGGCAGAGTTATGCGTATGCTGGCCACCATCCTGTTCTTTCAAACCAGGGCACTTCAGAAACTAGAGAGACTCTCGTAGAAATTATGCCAGTCCAGAAAGTATAAACCAGGACTGTGACCCTCCCTGGAAGACTGGGACCTGTGGTCACCCTAATTATGAGAGGAGGGCAAATAAAAGTTGAATGCTAATAGAATCCATTAGAACTAAAGGACTAGGGTTTAGTTTGGCAAGTGGTGATATTTATTTGACAAATCTGATGAATAAATATGAAGCCAACCTCCTATATTAATGTGGAAGGTGAATAATTTGATTGGAGTTATTAAGACCATTAAAACTGATTGCTTTAAGATTTGTTGTTATTCTGTTAGATTAAAAGATAAATCAATGTCAGCATTTTCCTGGGACCCTCCCCCCAAAAATCAATCAATGACTAACTTAGTATGTGCCTTCTGTTTCTAGTCATTTTGGTTTTCATTTTCATAGGCTGATTTTTGTCCTTGAAGGTAGTAATAGTTGTATTTATGTAGAATGTGAAGCATGTCACTTCTTTCATTATAGCTGTTGAAAATTGTCATTCACAAATATGTAGTTACTTTGCTTAGTGGAATTGAGACTTTGCAAATCTTTAAGCCACTTAGAAGAAATGTGTGCATGATTTATAGAACAAGCAAACAAAGCGTGACCTTTCCTGAACTGATTAACGGCGCTATTCTTCAGAATGGCAGTTTACTATAGATTCACTCACATTGAACAATTTTATAAATATGTATAAGGTATAATACAAATATGTAGCATGAAAATATAATGGATTTAAATGAAAGTTGCACCAAACATTTATATAGTTCTAGTACAAGTTAGAAAGCTCAGATTACTTCCTCTGAGCCCTATTTTCTAATCACAAAACACCTGACATGACATTTGAGAATGGCATGCAAGAAATTATTTCATTTTTAGTTTAATATTACATTATTGTTTATTTTAAATTACACATGCTTTTGCACACCATAAATTGATAGTTAGCTAAAAATGGAGTAGAATTTACTTCACCTAAAGACAATTAAAACTAAATATTGAGAGATATGTTAAAAATCATTTTGACAAGCTTTGTTTCCCTTCCAGTGACCCAGAATGCACTTGAACTCAAGAAGGATATGCTATAAAGTCACTTGGAAATCACTCGTAACTACTCAGCTTGGCCCCTTTAGCAGCCACAGAAAGCGCTTTGAAACAGTATAAAGTTACCCTTGTTTTTTTATTTTCACCTTGCAATGTCAGGAATTCAGTCAGATAGGTTTGGAACGATTAGGTAACTACACTTTCATACACAAGATGCACACCAGGGTTCCCAGCATGATGATGCCAGCCTTATAGATGCATGGTGAGCTCACGGACCTAAAAATCACAGCCCGCAGTGCACTGTGGCTAGAGTGGCCTGTTTTAAGTTCCTTGAGGGCAGGGACCATCTGCATATCTCTAATTCCTGGTTCTAAGTGTTAAAACAGCAATGTCGGTTAGTGTTTCCTAAATGGAATACTTAAATGCATAAAACTAGAACTTTCATATTCTCAAGTTAAGATAGTAATTATTGTGCTTATATCATTTTGTTTCCTTTGGTTAAAATGCAGAATTATTTGAGGTTCCTTTTTTTATGGAAGTTCTTCAGAAAACCATGCTAAATATGTTCTTCCCTCTTCTTCCCCCACCCAATATTTAACTTACCACAGCTTCATGCTCACGGGGACAGTGGATGAATATTTCTGGTCAATAGTCACAAACCAAGTATTTTAAAGTCAACTTGTTTCTCTCCAGCGGCACTGGCAGTCCTATTTTCTTTAATACAGAATTAACTTTCCAGTTGAGCTTTGTTTTGGTAATTCTTTATCATGTGCATCTCGAGTTACATGTAAGTGTGTATGAAGAAGTGGTGTTAAGGTGGGGAGAAATATTCCTAGACAAAAATTGAGAAGTGGGCAAAGTCCCTCTTTGGGTCGTCCCCACACACCCTTTGAGCACTTCCCTGTGTTTCCCAAGAAAGACACTATTTCCTCATTGTCGAGGCTCTTTCCTATTACTTTGAAGAATGCAGGAAATGCATCTTGAAATCTTCCAACTAGTGTTTTAAATTTTAAACAAAACTATAAACTCATGATTATGGAACAATGAATGCTATTTAACCGTGTGCATGGGTGACCCCCAAAAGAAAACATGACTGTCTCTTAAAATAACAAATCTATTCAGACAAATAGACAAGTTGACCTTTGAAGAGGCTCAGTTAATACGATCATATTTAAAGCCTTCCACAATGACCATCCGAAATAAGAAAGCAAAGGTCAAGCCAAAGCCATATTTTAAATTTTCATTGTTACCCTAAGGCTTTTCAAGCAAAATGAAATCTAGAAAATGATCCAATTTTGTTTCAATATTCATGTGTGAAGACAATTTATCTTTTGAATAATTCAGCCCAGTTTTTCTCTGGATGTGTGAGGAAAGAGAAGCCTTAAATGTTTGTGAATTAAAAGGATCAGGGACATGAAGGGAAAAGTGGAGCTGTGGCAGCAGAAAAGGGGGGAATTTTCCAGAACATATCTACCTACATGTCTTCACTACTGATTTACTTTATCTCCAATAACCTCCCTGGAAGCATGCAGTGGTCTCTCTGTATCTCATCTAGGGTGTGCATGGCCCAGCAGGTTTTCCTGGGAGATCAAATAGTGCAATGTAATGTTAAGGCAACAGTACGATTGGGAAATGATGTTTCTGATAAAGCAAGTAAAAAATTAATTGGGCTAAGTATCATCCATGCATGAATGGCATGTAGCTATTTTGTCTTAGAGAATTCCAAGAAGTAGGACAGAAGGAAGAAATAGTGAGTAGTAATCCTTTTCAAATCACTCTGCTTAAAATACTTCAAATAACTAAACACAAAAACAGCATCTAAGAAGGTAAATACAAATTAAAGGAGAAAAAAGTCTCTTTCATGTCAGATAACACATTACCAAAGTCACCAGAGAAAAACAATCTAGCCTTCTGTCATTGGCAACAATCACATACTGACTTTAAACTGTCACAAAGCTCAGAAAAGGATGTGCAACTTTTATTCCTCTAAGTGCTGAGTGAATTCTCCTTTCATTTGTCTGGCTTTTTGATATTTTTCTAATGTGTCTCCTGTGAACATTTTTTTCTTTTATTCTGAGAACTAACTTATTTTTAAGTGAAATAACTGTAATAAAATGTGCAGAATTGATTACTTAGAAGAATAATGTTCTTAAGGTTGATGTCCTCTCTTTAGCCATATAGTATGATAACTAGAAAAGAGAAAGAGAAGAAAAAAGAGCTTACATGCTTCTCTACTAATATACTATTCTCTACTGCAGGGTACTTCCTAAAATAATATTAGAATTTCTTTAATATGATTTGTTATATTTTCTCTTCTGAGTCAAGATATCTTATTTCTCCTCACTCCAAATAAATGACCCTGTTTCTTAGAGAAAGGATGCAAATAATCTGTAGCCATATTTCTTGTAAAAATTCAGAGATGGTGTTTTTACCAGACAGGGATGGGCCTGGAGTGGGTCTGCCTCAGGCTGGCCTGTGTGTTTTGGTTCTTGACTTCACGTCCAGGTGATTTTGAGAATGCACTTATTAAGGGTGGGGACAGTAAGACAAAGGAAGGACTTGGGGCAAAAGAAGGAACAGGAGAGAGCTTAGGCAGTGCTCTGCTTTGGTTCCCAAACTTTTGGCATCTCTGGGCCACACTGGAAGAAGAAGAGTTGTCTTGGGCCACACAACACCATTAAACAACACCATTAAATGTTATCCAATAAACACCATTTATTGAGTAAACTCTCTCTAGCCCATTGTATGTGCTTGCTTCCTCTGCCAATTATAAAGGCATGGGCTTATTTCTGGGTTCTCTATTGTGTTCCATTGATCTATGTGTCTGTTCTTATGCTAGTGCCATACTGTTTTAATTATAATGACCTTGTAGTATAGTTTTATATCAGGTATTGTGATCCCTCCTGCTTTGTTCTTCTTTCTCAAAATTACCATGGCTATTTGGGGTCATTTACAGTTCCATATAAATTTTTGAAATGTTTATCACAAGAACTTTCTGAGTTAACTAACTTTAAATGTACTATATGATACAAATAAATCAACAATGATCTTCCCGTTAAGGGAAAATCACCATTAATATTTGGCTATATTTGCTTTATGTATGCAACTATATATATATATATATATATATATGTATATAATCTTACAAAGGAAGGGTTAAATTGTACATTTAGTTTTGTAATCTCCCTATTTTACAAATGCTCATTTTGTGTGTTCTAATTATAATTGGAATTGTGTTATATCAATAAAATAATTTGGGAAAAACTGATATTATTACAATATCCCCATATAATTTGCTTGTTTTATTCAAGTATTTCATACATCTCAGGAAAACTTAGATTTCTCAATAGTAAGTCTTACACAGAAGCTTGTAGAACCCTCTTCTTAATGGTCAACCTTATAGCTTAACTCTGGTATTGCTCACTCCGTTTTTACAAGCCTATGTATTTTTTCCTTCCTTGACTTTTTCTAGGCCACATTTGTTTGAAACGTTTGGGAAGGAAATGTACTTTTTTCATTCCACAGAAGAAATGCTTTAATTTTTGGTTAACATATTTGTCTCTATTTGTGGGGTTCAATTCTGAGGTTGTCAGGATGTGAACATGGCTATGAGTTTTTATCTGTTGTACTGCAGTCATTTTGAGACTCACAAATCTGTCCTGCATAGTGCCTTTCATCTTGAGATTACAGAATAATGCTAATTTGTCATCATTATCAAATTGTTCACATAGCCACTTTCTCAAGCCCTTTGGAAGATGCCACAATGATAGTGATACTATTTTAATGAAGTTACCAAATATATTGCAATGTTATGAAGAAAAGACAATCTTGAATCCTTAAAGTTTTCAAATAATGATTCCCTTATCTGTAAACTCTTACAATTAGATTAACTCATCATAAAAAATAAGTTTGCATAGGAAACTAAAGAAACATTTTTAAAAATAATTCTAAGGACTTACAAAGAATTTAGTCTTGCTATTTTTAACATCATGATATTGGAATAGGAGAAACAGAGTGTGAAATAGAAGAAAATAAAAGGTAATGAAAGTAGAAATGACAAATTTAAACTTCTGTCAAATAAAATTGAAGTCAAGCTTTTGTTAGACTCAGCAAACAACCTTTACCAGATTCTGTGTTCCAAATATAGAAAAGTACACATACGTTCTCTGCAGTGGGACCTACTAGGTCCTGGGGCAAAGCTTTCATTTTGATTTTAAAATCTTTGATATTACACATTTTCTCTGTTCTCTTTTTCCATCTGATAACCATCTTCCTCTGACTTCCTTTGATGTGACAGCCATGTTTCCGATGTATTCGAGTTCTTAAAGAAAACCCAAGAAAACATGTACATAAATATATATTTCCAAAAATACTATGATTTTGTTACCATAGTTTTGTGTAAGAGGAATGGCTATTCTTTAGTTTATTTCTAGAAAATCACTGACTCAAGTGATTTTTAAAACTCCCTATACAAAAAGTTATGAACACTTATTCTACTTTAATTACTTTACTAACTTCAAACATAACTTAATTATGATAGACAACACATTGAGAAACATAAAATTTTATGTGGTATGAGAATAATCAGCTCTGAAGTAAAATAAGTCAAATCTTGTTTATATAACCTTCATCTGCAATTAATAGTCTCCTAAAATCAAAGTTTTAAAGTTAGGATACTTTCTAGAATATATTCAGTACAAGAGTGTCTCTAGTTTCTGAAGTCAGGACACCACTTCCTATTCATGAACACCAATGGGGAACGTAAATTTTATGAAAAGCATTTGAATTTGCCATTCTGAAAATTGACAATACAATATGTAGGATAGCTGCTTACAAGGGTGAGATCCTTCAAGGGGTACAGAAGGATACTAAAATTGGTCTTACTTATTATAGGAGTTTCTATATATTCTATATGTTTTTTGTGTGTATTCAGATGTCATCTTCAATTTTTATCCTTAAATGTAAATGTACTTACATTGCTCCATGTACATTAACTCCTCAGTTTTTTATTTGATCATTAAAAGACTGTAAAGATTAGTGTACAGTATATAGCCATGAAGTAACATTAATTCATTCATGTACTCTATTTCTGTAAGTTAAAAAACTTATTGACAACATTTGTGTGTTGGATATTCTAAGCAAGGCCTTAAAAATACAAACATGAATAAGCCTTTCCCTTATGATGTTCATAAACAGTAACATAAATAGGAATATACACCTATAAATTAGAGTTTCAGAAAGTAGGTGTTATAATAGCTGCATGCACAGTTCTTTTCAGAAATCAGAGGAAGATAAAAATTATTTTTCCTAAGAAAAACAAGGCTTCCAAAAGGTGAACTTTAAGCTCATCCAGAAGGGAGGGACCCTTACCATGTGAAAGAGAAATGAGAGCTATTCAGAGTATGCCTACCATCTCCAACTTGTCTCATGACAGGCAGAGTGAGGAATTAATTGTTTGAAGTGGTTGTCAGGAAGGAAGGAAGAGAAATGACTAAAATGGAATCTTGGAGATATTCTGGGTAAAATTAAAACATTTTTATTTTATTGTGTAGACAGTAAAAAGAGGCAACACTAGGCTTTTTGAGCAGAAAGTAACAGGGCCAGAGGTTGGGCTTAGGAAGGTGATAGGTGGCAGCGGTAGGAGTGGTGGTGAATAGAGAGAGACAAGAGCAGGAGGCCAGTTTTGAAAGTCAGTTGTGAATGCCTGGGTGATACATAGTGAGTTAAATCTTGGGCTGGAGGGTGAGTAAAGAAAGGGGTCTACAGGAGGTTGCAATACAAAAGAACGATAAAAAGGACATTCCTTGTTGAAGAACAGAGAATAGAATGTACATTTTGATTCTTTATTGTGGACATAATTAGAGAAAATATACCAAATAGATATAAGTTTTTGATTACACTGATGATAAAGAAAATATAGAGAAGTAATTTAAACAAAAGGGAAGGTGGACACTAGAAGATTCATTTATGTGTTTTCACAATGAAGCTGACTGGTCCATGGAAGGGTTGAATCTCATTCATCCTTGATATAACCATGTGGCTGATGAAGGGTTTAGGCATGAGATGGATGATGTCACATTTCAAAATGCCTTCTGAGACTGTTTTAGGAAGCCACCAAGTAAAGTGAATGTTTATGTGTCAAACTTTAGAAAAGAAGAATCTTCAGATAACTTTGGAGGATCATTTTCTGGTGTATAAAATCCTATTTCGTTTTACTGCTGATATTTTTACAAGCAGTAAAACCTACAGGGATCAACTCCCACCTCACTTGAATCTGGATGGTTGTTGAACTGGAGGGATGCTTAGGCACAAAGTAAACCATAAAAACAAAGTATGAATTTAAATAGCCTTAAATTGGCTTACTGAGAATGAGGTTTGCTAACATTCTGTTTGCCTCACTATCCTTGAGTAAGTTGCAACTAAGCTGAGCCAGGAGAAAACCACACGTCAAAGGAGCTTTGCTGTTGAAGTGCAGGCGTCCAACAGCAAAATGAATGTGTGACAAACCTGACCATGACATAATTAAAAGTTATTAATTGTATTTTCATATTCAAGGAAATTAGGTATTGTTGTCAACACAGCACATGCCTTGATAAATCCTCGTGAGAAATATATCAAGCTTTTCAACTCAAGGTATTATGGGAATTCTTACATTATTTGTCAAGGAAAGATATAAAAATTAATTGGTTTTTAAATCCTTATGGAAGTCATTTAAGCATGTGGATATAAACCTCCTCTTTTTATGCACATTCTATCCCTATTTATCCATCTTGTTACAGCTCTTCATTTGTGTTGGAAAGTCCTGCTGTACAAATTTCTCATTCTGTTACTGAGTGCAGATTCATAAAATGCCTATAAGTACATATTCAAAAGTCGCGGTTGTCTTATTATACTCTTCATGTACTGAGTGAGTTCCTCCAGTTCCACCGTGTCTCTCTCTCTCTATCTATATAGATAGATATAGATATAGATATAGATATATATCCTCTGTCTATATATATACACATACATACACACATCTATTTATCAATATTTAATATATGTTAAAAGGCAATGTGTTCTTTCATATTTGCTCCCTTAAAACTACTTTATTTGAAAGTGAAATGTTAATATTTACTTATATATTTTCATTTTAATGATGAATTTAAAAAACCCCTTTTAGTTACTTGAATCTGTTTGAGTATTTTGTATTACATATCACTGGACTTCACTGTATTACAAGGTTTTTTCTCTGTAGTAAATGATTTGATGGCTTACAATTTTCCTTTATGAGAGTCTACAGTTAAGCTTTCTTTCACTCACATATAATTGGAACTGGCACCCAGAGTTCCAACTCTTAATGTGATTTCTTACATTATTTTTCACCCTTTTAAATTTCCTCAATGACTCAAATGCTTTGGCATTTGAAATGTGTTTTGTTAACTGGAATTATATAAACAGCTCATTTAACTTGACCTTCAAATGTTCCTTCCTTTCTCATTCCTTTGGTGTGAGTGTAGCACAGACTGTTAGTATCTGCTCTAGCTGTGAAGTGGCATCCACCTTCCCCCAGCTCTTCCCCTTCATGATGCCAGTCATGCTTCGTCCATGCTGACAAGCAATTATTAGTCTTTGTTTCCTTTACACTGTATATTGGAAAAACAATCATTGAAAGGAATTGTAGAAGTGGAAACCATTATCTTTGCACTATTGTGGTAACATAGCTTTTCGGCTTGCTGAGAATATCCATTAGTTTTGTTCTCTTATCTAAAAATGATTTCTTCTTTGCTTTGTATTGTTCCAGGAGTTGAATATTCCACCAAAGTCTGCCACATTAAAGATGGATACCTTTATTTCTACAATAGCTGAGGTATTTTTCTTATTGCCCTTTGTTCCATGCTTAAAGGCATTCTTGGTTCATTTCAATTCCAGTTGTATTAGCTGTAATTTGGGTACTTTTAAAAAGCCCATTTGACTCACAAGAGCTTTTTTCATCTTTTTTTCTTTCAGCATCGGTCTGACCTCAGTCTACTGAGACAAATTCATCCTGAGATACATTTATGTGCACTGTGCATGTATACAGATGGGCCAGGGACACTTAGCTAGGTACTTTACTTCAATTACAGCTAAGAAAATTTTGCCTTTGAAGTTTTGATTATATCAGACCTTAGAAGTGGGCCAAATTTTTCTCGGTAAAATTATCCTTTCAAATTTTATCTGGGAGTGTCAAATTCACTCTATTTCTTAAATGTTACTTGTGAAAGTAAATGAAGACCACCCAAAAAGAAAAAGCAAAGTCTCGTTATTTAGAGCTTGCAAGTGAACCAACCACCATCACTTGGGTTTGGCCAATGCAAAGACGGGTGGGGAGGGAGAGAAGCTTGTCAGTGATAAACAGAGAAGCATTTAGGTTTGCTCTGATGGATGAATATTGGTTTTGGGGAGGTGCATGTGAACAGTCTAGAAGAATGGCCTTCTATATGATTGTTTGAGGAGTATATTAGGCTTTCTCTGGTTGGTCCTCAGTTAGGAGCTAGGCGAAAACATGGGAATCTGTCAATCGTTGAATGACCAAGTCCTGACTATTTTGGGCCTGTTGCTACAGAGATTTTGGGTTGGTTTCTTGAGCCTAAGTTTGGTGAAGTAGTGGATTAGTGTTTTATTGTCATGTATGGTCTTGCCATATCTTTTCTCTCAAACTCTGGAATAGACCTTCTCTGAAAATGGATTTAAAAAGAAACTCAAAGCCCAGCAATAACAATGCTTTGCACTCTGGCAAAAAAAAATTACTAGGAATTATTTATATCTAACAGTTGGGTTATAATCTATTTATTTATTTTTACCATAATGAGTTTGTGAAAAAATAAAAATAGTTTCCTAATTGGGAATGTACATTTTATAATGGCTCCTGTGAAAAGGTTTCTCTCATTTTGATTGTGGCTTTGTAGTCTATGTGACCTTAAAAATGTCACTCTCTCCAAAGTGTATTTCATTAACCAGATTAGAGAACATATAACCGTGTTATTTATGTGCTTTCAGTCTTTAAAACTGTTAGGTGATTGTAATGTCATAGAAATTGAAGAAAAATATCCAGGAGAAAATACACAACTAAAATCATCAGTGTTCTTAACAGTATAGAATTTTCAGAGAAGTTGATGAAGCTGACTCCCAGACAGGTAATTTTGCTGTGAGTGTGTATGTATGTGTGTGTGCACACACACATATATATGCACACACACACATATATAAATAAACAGGATGTGAAGAAGTGTCTCCATGGACTATGAGATGTTGAGTGAGCAAGCAGGTCCTGAGAAAAATTGGCTTTTATCGATCACTTACTATGCAGATAGAATGCCATTCATTTTGAGAAGAAAAGGTGCCCAAGTTACAGAGGTCATATGTGAGAAATGGAAGCATGATTATGGAAGAGAAACCAAAGACACTCCCTGCTATACATTACTTTGTATTTATTTTTTGTCTTGCTCATGTGTACTGCCTTCAAGTTGATGTGAAGGTGTATTCAAAATCATCATCTAAAACATTCTTCAGCTTCCTTCATTATAGCTTACATGTGACTAAGGATTAATGTATTTCTCAGGGTTGACTGAACTCCTTGGCTGCTCTGAAGCAGTTAAGCAATTACATTACACTATTACAAAATAACAGCAAGTATCAATAAATGTTTTTTTAATTAAAATGATAACCATTGTATTTATCATTTCTTGGTTATTCTTTGTATATTTACATGTGAAGAAAATGTCAAATAGCCCTGGCTGGGGTGGCTCAGTGGATTGAGTGCTGGCCTGTGAACCAAAGGGTGGCTGGTTCATTCCCCAGCCAGGGCATATGCCTGGCTTGTATGTCAAGTCCCCAGTAGGGGGCCCGTGAGAAGCAAACACACATAGATGTTTCTTTCCTTCTCTTTCTCCTTCCCTTCTCCTCTCTAAAAATAAATAAATAAAATCTTTAAAAAAGAAAATGTCAAATAATTAGTTCATACTTCACAGCAGATAAGTTGTTATAAAAGGTTATGTTTTCTACTGGAAAAATTGTATTATCATCAGAGTATTAAACTTGGCATAAATTATGTATATCATGTAAATTTTTAACTGAAATTTGAGCAAAAGCATAGATTTATTCTGTATTTTTGGGTAATAATATATAGTTTTAGATGTGTGTATGCTATATATATATGTGTATATATACATTTATGTGTGTATATATATATTTCCTATTAGCAAAATGACTTTTTACTGATTAGACAATAACAAACATTAAGAAATAAATAGTGGAAGATAAACTGTGCTACAGAGACAAATTTTCAGTCACTATGGTTTCCAAATCTCAAATGAAATGTGAGTGAATCTTGGCCATAGTGCCCATTGTTATGTTTTCCATTGTGTTTGATTACAATGCTAGGCAGGGGAAAAAAGACATCCTTTTTTGTTGACTGAGATGTCCTGCAGATATAAAATATAGGTGCCAAACTGAAGACCTTTTAGAGCAAAAAGAGTTCCAAAGTGAATACTCCATGGGTGTATAGCCCATTGTACTAAGCATAAGGATCTAACATTCATGCTATTTTTGCACTTGGATTGGATTATTGATGAAAACAGAGAACCAAAGGGGAAAAAAGAGGATAGCAGTAGAGTGAGAAAGATGGCTAAAAAAATGAACAAAATAACAGAAAGAAGCTTGAATCTGAAAAGCCCATAGCCACAGAATGAGTTAGATTCATGCAGTGATACTTAATTTGGACCCTTTCTCTTTGTTCTCAGTTCCTTTCTGGTTCAGTGGATTTGACAAAAATCTTCTTCACTTCTTTTATGTTCTTCCATGGATTGATAACACTAGTTGGCAGAGCAAGACCTGAACAATGGGCATGAATGTTATTGCTTTCTATTTAAGTGAGAGTAGTTCTCACCTTGAACACAGAACATATACTTTTATTACAACCTACAAAACATACTGTGAGATTAATTGTACATGCTTTGGATTCTTAGAAATGAGAAATTTAATCTCTATGTGTATATTTGATCTTCTCCAATTTTTATGTTAAATGTAAAAACTGCAAGCTTACAATCAGACCACATTAAACTGGGCAGCTTGCAAAGGCTTAAACAAACTGAACATGAATTACTTAGGTTAATGTTTCAGTGTGGATTTCTTTATTTCTCACTAATTAATCTTCTTGGCTATACTGCCTTCTTTACCCACTACTGAACAAATTCCAAATAAACATGACCCCTGAATTCTTTGAGTGAATACAAACTGATAAGCACTGTGGCAAATAATATCTTATAGGCCCCTTCTGGAGTGCCCTTTCTATTCCTTATTGATTCTCATATGCATTATAAAATACTATATCCTCAAAAAGGAAATTACATCCCTTCACACTATCCACTAGCTCCCTACCTCCACTTATTCATTATTTATTCATTATCAGTCAGTTTTATTTACTGAGTACTTTCTATGCGCTGGATTCTAGTCTAGATACTTGAGGACATCAGTGAACAAAACAAAGATAACTTACTTGCCTTTATGGAGCTTATGCTCCAGGTTGGGGTGTGCAAGGCTGTAAACATATGATATGATCATAGAGACTGTCAGGAAGTGAAATGCAGAATGAAAAAGGCAGCGCAAGGGGAGTGAGTGAGGACATGGGGTGCATATCATTTCATTTAATAGCTTCACTCTCACAGGCTTCAGTGAGAACGTGTGACTATAGGAAAAATAAGTAAAAAAAAAAAAGCAGAAAAGTAGAATTGGTAGGACAGAAAAGGCAGAGAAAACACAGTAAAAACTCAAAGATGGAAGCGTGACTGGCATGTCACAGGAATAGTAACAAAGCCTGTTGGAATGGGTCAGGAATTCATGTCAAAAAGTGGTGGTACATCCACACAATGGAATACTGCACAGCAGATAGAAAGAAGGAACTTCCACCCTTCACAACAGCATGGATGGAACTGGGGAGGATTATGATAAGTGAAATAAGCCAGGCAGTGAAAGATCACATCATATGATCTCACCTGTAATAGGAACCTAATGAACAAAACAAGCAAGCAAAATAGAACCAGAGGCATGGAAACAAGGAACAAATGACAGAGACCAAAGAGAAGAGGGAAGTGAGATGGGGGGGGGAGGGGAAGGCCTAGTTAAAGAACAAATATAAAGGACCCACGGACATGGACAACAGGGTGGGGATTGACTGTGGGAGCTGAGTGGGAGAGGGGACCACTGGGGCAGGGGAGAGCAACAGGGGGGAAATTGAGACAACTGTAATAGAACAAAAATAAAAATAAATAAAATAAATCATATAAAATAAAATAAACTAACAGTTTTACAGAATTAGAAAAAAAAGGAAAAGAAAGAAAGAACCATGAAGTGAAAGGGAGCAGCTCATGGACACCCTTTGTAGGTTGTTGTCCAGACTTTGGTTTTGCTCTGAAAGAAATGGGGGACCATTAAAGGGTTTTGAACACAGATGGGCACACTCCTAGACTTTTGAAAGCTTGTTCTGTCTGCTGTTTGAGAATCTGTTCTAATGAGACAAGGGAGATGCAGGAGAACTTATTAAAAGGCCATGAACTCTAAAAGAGACATGGGATTCGGACCAGAGTATTAGTATTTAACGTGGTGAGAAGTGTTAAGATTCTGAAATTATTTTAAAATAGAGTTAGGAGGATTTCCTGGCAAACAGGATATGAAGTGTGAGGGAAAGAGTGGAAGCAAAGGATCGCTGATATGTCTACTCAGTAACTGTCAACAGCTACCCTAGATCATTCTACCTGGATGATGTCACAGGAATGCTAAACAGCCTACTACCTGGTTTCCCTGCTTCAGTCCAATGATGCTACATGTTGTTTTTACTACAGCATCAAAAATACCTTTTCAGACATAAATTATGAAAACTATACATCAAATTATTTTATACTTAGAAAAAGTTATAACATCCTTCACATGAAATTTCTGGTATTAAAGGGCAAATATGATATTTTTGCCTATCTCTCTAACCTTTTACCTAATCTTTTTAATGCTGCAGTTGCCAGTTCTTACTATTTCTAGGACTTACTATTTCTAGGATAGCAAAAGCTAGTGGATTCATTAGCATCAGAGAGACATTTTTTTCCCTCAAAATTTTCCATGGCCTATTTCTTCACAAGCTTATTATTTCCTATGCCACTTCCTCCTCTGGACCTGTGAAATTAATTCCCCAGAATTCTTGTTCTTCTCTTCCTGTTGTACCCAAGACTTTCCTGATTTAATAGGTCAATTTCAGGTTAATGGATCATGACTAGAAGTGGTAAGTGCCACTTCTCAAAATACTCCCATGTGGGGTTCTTCAGCATTTACACTCTCTGGCCAGCGGGAATGCGCGCAGCCCATGATGAGTTTGCAAGATGCGTTGAAGATCAGACAGCCTCGGGCAGCCTTGATCTCTGAATAACATGGAGGAGTGCACCCTACATAACCTCGTACCTGCACAGTAGTATTATGTAAGAAATGAATTTTTATTGTGTTTAAGAAATTATACTTCTTAGGGTCTCCATTATCAGTTTGGGGATATATTTGCTGCGATTGCCTACCAATGTAATGCACAATCCAAAATAGAATTTATTTTGTTATATTTTGTTATATTACTAATTAGTGTCTGAGTTTTTTTTTCTACTGTTGAAGTACGTTAGTCTTTGCATTCCCCCTAGAAATGTAAGCTTTGCAAATGCATAGATTGAAACATTCTGAATATGTTAAATTCCATGTGTCCACAGTAATGATCAACACATG